CGCCTCAAACTCCTTTATCCTTCTTCCCAGAGCCACGTAGTCTGCAGTGATCCGCTCAAGGTCATTCTTGGCAGTATCATTGGTGCCCACGTGGAGAAGCAGGAAGGGGTAGCGATCTGAGGGCTTGATGAGTCTCGGCAGTCTCTCCGTCACATTGTGTATCCTAGCTCCTGGCAAGCAGCAGACCTCTCGGTTTTCCCAGTCGGGGCGGCAGATAGATGACTCAGTCCCCCTGAGAAGGGAGTCCCCGACCACCACCGCCCTTCTCCTCCTCTTGGGGGTGGTGGTTGCCTTCCAATCGGTGGAGTCTCCTTCTGCTCCCTTCCCTCAGATGTGTCATCTAGTCCACTCTCCGCATTAGGAGACTAGATGACCTCCTGAGGTCCCTTCCAACCCTGATATTCTGTGATTCTATGATTCTATGAATCCCAAGGAAACAGCTCCTTTCAAAGAATTTCACTCTAAAAACAGCTGTGAAAACCAGGGTATTGCTACTTGAAACAGACTTACCAAACTGTGGCATGCTTTCAGATGTGTAGATCTTCAGATGACAAGACGAGCTCTGTTATGGGGAAACATGCCATCTTCTTCATGTTTGAGACTATAATTTAACTCAAATGAGAGTGTTCTATTCTTTCCCCAAGGAGCTCGCCAGATGTCAGATTTCCTCATCTACAGCATTTGGTTAACCTGCCTTTCCCCACTTTTTTTATGCTAGAGTGCCTAATACTTCCTGAGATGGTTGTGCTCTTGATAGTAAGCAGAGGACATCCTCAGCAAGGGCGTGATCCAAAGTCCATTGAAGTCAATGGAAAGATTCCTTTTGACTTCCATGGCCTTTGGATCAGACCTCTAGTGACTAATGCACTGTTTTCAGATTAAATTTGGTGACAAGATAGTTAAAATGCTGGTGACCAACATCTTATTTACTTTAACCTTCAGTTAACATTCAAAGAGTCCAGTTAGACTTGCAGATCCAGGTGTCACCTGTTTTGAGTGTGTCCCTGTTCTACTCCACTCTAGGCAAGGCGGATACATGCTTTTATATGATAACCACACATTTAAAAACCTTAAATCCATATAAATCGGTTTGTAACACAGCAAAGGATCCCAAAGCCTTTCACAAACTACACACATGCAGCCATCTGTGGGATGGAGGATGGCAGCCAACTGGTGCACAGCCTGCTGCAGAATAATGTGAAAAGTCTGACTCTTACTCATCCTGTAGTATCTGAGTGTCTTCCATGTAATAGCAAAGCAAAATCCCAAGCAGACTTCATGGAGAATCTGTCTCTTCTGTCTTCTGGGGGCTCTAAACTCTGCTTGGGGTAGGTTTTATTTGGTTGGATTGTATTACTTTCCTTTTTTAGTAAGGGTTTAGGTGGAAGGTGGGGGGAGGGGGGAAGTGACTTTAGTTTTTAAGGTTTCATCTGAGCGGCACAATAATATACTGCAGATAGGTCATTTATCTTCTTTGGAAGGATGAGGATCTGAATTGACCCTGTCCGGCTTTCAACTATGGCACCAGGAAGTTAAAGTAGTTCAAACCTGATGCTTAGATCACTAAGCCATCCCCTATTAGAACATTGCTTTGGTTCAGTTTGTTTTGATTTTGGGGAATACCATTTGACTAGGGTTATACACATAAATTATATTGGCAGTTGAAGCTAGACAAATTCAGACTGGAAACAAGGTGTAAATTTTTGACAGTGAGGGTAATTAACCACTGATGGAACAATTTACCATAGGTCAGGGTGGATTCTCCATCACTGACTATTTTCAAATCAAGATTGGATGTTTTTCTAAAAGATCTGCTGTAGTAGGAATTATTTTGGGAATTTCTATGGCCTGTGTTATAGAGGAGATCAGACAAGATGATCACAATGGTCCCTTTTGGGCTTGGAATCTATGAATATTATGTACAAAAACAAGCAAACAAAAAGCAACTCTATTGTATTTCTTGTCTATCTTAGGGTAAAGCTTACACAGGTCATACATACCACATGGAAGACTCCTGCTGCCTTGACAGGTATAAATCCAGCAACAGGTACACAGTGATCAGCGTGGCCATTACAAAAGCAGCTTCCCTTTACAATAAAATCATAGATTGCATAGTGTATGAACTGCTGAGGCTTTGCATTCAGGTCATTGCCCTGACAGGGACAGGCCTGTCGCTTAAGCAGCTGCACTCGAAGATTGGTGATCTTCAGTTGTGCCTGAGCTTCAGCGCTGTACGGATCCTCAGCCGAATAAGGTGGTGACAGAGCTCGGTATATAACCTGAACAAAGAAAAGCAGAGACAAATAAATAAAGGAGAACTGGGGATGTGAACTGGAGTTTTCTGAAAGGCTTGCAGTGTGTTCAGGGCTGGCTCCAGTGTTTTTGCCACCTCAAGAGGCAGGAAAAAAAAAAAAAAGCCGCGCTCGGCAGCACCGCTTCATTCTTCGGCAGCAATTCGGCGGCAGGTCCTTTCCTCCGAAAGAAACTGAGGGACCCGCCGCCGAATTGCCGGACATGCCGCCCCTATCCGTTGGCCGCCCCAAGCACCTGCTTGCTGCGCTGGTGCCTAGAGCCGGCCCTGAGTGTGTTGTCTGCAAACTCTGCACTCTCTGAACAGTTTGTCTCTGGTGTGATTTACTGGACTGGCGGTGACATCTGGAATTGATATGACAGTAAGATGTGATGAAGTTTTTAGAGCTTGATCACACCTGGGGAAGGGTTGCCCTCTGTTATGTTATGGAACAGCTGTCCCCCATGGTGCATGAAGGAAAGTAATGAGTTGAGTAATGAGATTCCCAGTGTGCTCTGTCCTATCTACAAGGTAGTGGAGTAGCAAAGTAAGTTTTATCCAGAGGAGAAGCATTCCTGTTCATCTTTTCCTGATCCTGGAAACACTTAGGGCAGGGGCCGGCAACGTTCGGCACGCGGCTCGCCAGGGTAAGCACCCTAGCGGGCTGGGCCAGTTTATTTACCTGCTGACGCGGCAGGTTTGGCCGATCGCGGCCCCCACTGGCCGCGGTTCACCATCCCGGGCCAATGGGGGCGGCGAGAAGCGGTGCAGGCCGAGGGATGTGCTGGCTGCGGCTTCCCACTGGGTCCCAGAACTTGAGCTCCAGCCTGACCCCAAACATCTACATTGCAATTAAACAACCCCGTGGATCCAAGCCCCGCAAGTCCAAGTCAGCTAACACTGGCCAGCTGCCGGTGTTTAATTGCAGTGTAGACAAACCCTTAGCATGAAATCCTGGCCTCACTGAAGTCAATGGGAATTTTTCCATTGGTTTCAGTGGGGCCAGGATTTCACCCTTACTACTTGGCATAGTACTTTACCGTGAATAGTACTGAAGTCAATGGGCTTACTCACAACAGTAAGCACTACTTGAAGTAGCGAGCATTGGATGTAAAATGGATGTAAAAAGCTTTTGTCCATTTGCTTATTAACCCCCACTCCCAAAACTGGGTGTATTTTTTGGCAAATAAAGCAGATTTCCAAATATTTGGCTCATGTCTGACCCATGGTGCTTCCTAGTGTGAAAGTGATTAGGTGTGGTGAGTGATGACAGCAAGAAGATAACCCAGAGGACTGAGATAAGAAAGAAAAATTGGGGGACTTTTAGGTTTAAGGAAATACCATTTAGTCTTCATTTTAACTTCATTAGGACTGAAAGGCAAAAATTGGTTTAACTGGAGAGCACTAGATAAAAATAACTAGTTTTTTTTAAGAGGTTTATTTGGAACTTGCTAATGTAGTTGTCTATACAGTGTGATACCAGAAACAGCAAGCATGCAATGTATTTAATCTATTAATTGATTAATATTGATATGACATCACACTTTATAATATATTAAGGGTCCATTTCTAAATTGCTTATAAAGAGATAATGAATAATATTATTTTAATTATATTTGAATGAATAGTTTATCAATTGTTTATAAACATCTAAAAACCTTTTACTGATGTGCTTATAACCATCCATAACACATACTACCCCTATATGTATCATGCTTATAAGATATTAGTCATTTATGAACCATTCATAAATGTACACATGTACCCTTAATATGAAGTGTGATCAAGAACACTGTCATTCGTGTAGTGTTGACTATATGCTCAGCACTCGACAAGATGCAATGTGAGAGATACCCTGACCCAGGGACCTTACAATCACAGATCTTAATCCTGCTATTGATAGCACCTATGTACGTGGACTAATCTGCTTGGATGGACCCCCACTGAAATCAATGTGGGTGTAGCCATCAGCCTTCATACCACCAGCTGCAGGCCTAACCTAGACAGACACAGAACTCACATACGGGGCAATCCAGAGGAGGGAGAAGCTTGTTGTTCTTTAATATTATTATTAGCTTTCAATGTACGGTATGATTTTGATTCTCTGAAGGTCTCAGGCAAGGAGGCCTTACAGTTAAACCACAGAGCTGGATAGCAAGAAAGTTGGGTTCAAATCCCAGCCATGCCACAAATTTCCTGTGTGACTTTTGGGAAATAAGCACAGTGCTCTAACACTCAGCTTCCGCAGCTGTAAAATGGGGTTCATAAAACATACTCCACCTACCTCACTGGTGGTGTTTAAATTCATGAATGTTTATTAAGGGATTTTAGATTCCTGTCTGGAGTGGGCTGTAAACACGAAGTATGTTATTACCCAGCAGTGGGGGAGTTCGGAGGGAGGGAGCTGGAGAAGAGGCAGAATACAAGATGCATGAGGGGAGCTGAAGCACTGTAGGTGCGCCAGATGCTAAATTGTTCTCCCAGTAGTCCTTGGCACTTTGCCTCTTACTTGGTCCCCTGTCTCTTTTTCCTGGGCTCCACCCTTGATGGATAATGGGGGAACCAGCTAACAAGCTATATAGATAATCCAGGCCTTTTTAAAAAAACAACCCTACTGTTATTGAAGGACATGGTCGTTTCAGCTAACGAGTAACTAACCAGCTAAACTGTAACTTTAAAGAATGACTCTATGCAGGAAATAATAATACTGGCTCCTGGTGCTGCCAACTCACCAGACTGCTGGCTTTGCCTCTCCTGGCTCTCTCACCCCCAGAGCTCTGTCTGGGCTCCCTTTCTGGCCATGACCTGGCATTTTTCCAGAACTGCCAAATTCCAGCCAGAGGACGCCTTGTCAGGGGATGGAAGGAGATTTAGAGCTCTTTACAATTCTGAGCTGAATGGCGGCAGTGTGCTTTGTGCGCCTCGTCAGCGAGCCAAATGTGGCAGCAATCAGTGTGCTGGTGACAGCAGCGATTTGGACATCCCGGTGCTTGACATTGCACGTTAGAAAGCACATAATACCACAGCTCCGGGCTTTGACAAGTGCAAAGTGAACAATGGTGCATGTGCTGCTTCTGCATCCAGAGCACATTTGTGCCAAGTTGCACCCATCATCCAATTGGCAGCTTTAAAGGTAGTCAAGGACCTAATTCCCTTTACCTAACAGACCATAAGAAAGGGACTGGTTTAGGGTGGGAGAGGCAGTGGGAGGACAGGCTGGTGAGTTGTGTTCACCATGAGTAAAAGTGTTGAGCCTGGGATGAGGGATATAAATAATTAGTTACGCGCTTCAAAGGGCCTTTGTCTCTCTTTCAGTAACACCCCACCTCTTTCATACTCATCCAGAAGAAAAAACTAAATCAGGCAGGTACTAACACAAACCCAAACACATCCCAATGTCAGGACCTGCACACATCCCCAGGGTTTATTATTTACCCAAATTTAAAACTCTATAATTTTGACCACAATAGCATTTTCTGGGCTTCATGAACATGAGATGCCTTCAGATATGGAAAAAAAATTGGCTGGAAAACATCCAGGTTCTAGACATTCATTTCCTTTTAGCTGAGGTGATGGAAAAAGCAGGCTGAGAATTTTCAGTAAAAACTAACACTTTGGGTTCCTCATGATTAAAGATCAACACAAATAGCTTCTGAAAGTCTTTTCTGGTTCAGATCAGAGTAGTGAGGGAAATATGTAACAGGGAATAATTCATCCTAGACGTAGCTACAGGCATGGTTCTTTATTCCCATCATTTTCAATTATTCTTGCCTGTCAAGCCCATTTGAAACCAAGCATGTGGTCAATATTTACAACGTAGTACTGAAAATTAAAAGGAAAAAAACCTCTCATTATCTTGACTCAACTGAAGTCAATAGGAGTTTTATCATTGACTTCAGTGGATCCAGGATTTCATCCTGGTTCTTAAAAAGTTACAATCATTTCTTTTTATGATTGCTTGAATACAGTGATGCTAAACATGATCTCCTATCTCTAATTCCCAGTAGACTTTAAGGACCAGATTCATCAGTATACTCTGGCTGCTTTGTGCTGCTTCAGTGATGCAAAACAGCCATAAACTCAGCTTAACTGGCCAGTTACACCAGGTTTATTGCTGCTTTTCATCATTGAAGCAGTGCAGACCAGTTGGCGCATACTAGTGAATCTGGCCTTAAAATCATTAACTTAATAAACACCCCCCACTACTCGGTTCATTGTAATAAAATGCAAGTTCTCTCTAACACAAAATAAAACCCAAATTGCCATATAAACAGTAATCCTCTTCTCTGTGCTAGCCAATCGAGCTGGAACCTCCAGATGCAGTATATTAAGAACAAGAATGCATTTCCTGGCTGGATTTTTCTGTTCAATTGTCAAGCTCATTGACTTATTCCATCACCTCTCAGCAATAACTCTAGTGTATCCCTTGGTTCACTCCATCCTGTCTCATTAATAACTAATTGTCACACTTTCGGGGCTAGCTGCTCCAATGTCTCCTTTCTGATCTTTCACCCCCTCAGGTCTTAGGCCTCGGACCTTTACCACTTCTGGGCTGGAATCATATGATTCTCCAACTCGCAAAATGGACCCTAGGCTTCAGTATTCGGAGGACTGACTGTGCTTACCCTGCAGGTCTGATTGGGTTTTGGCACCTGAGGTTCTTCCTTTCAAGAGTTTGTGACCCCAAAGGTGAGTACAGCGACCACACAGCCTTCTTAAACCAAAGTCTTGTTCAATTTCAACAGTACAAACAAAGCATTTAGATAAAAGGATTTTAAAACGACTATCTACATGCAGATCTATCTTAGCTATATTGCTTCCCATCCCTCATGATAGCCTTGGCAGACCTAACTTCTTCAGATGCCCCAGCAATGCCCATATAGACAGACTTACAGCTCCTCAACAACAACTGTAGAGAGGCAGTCCCTTTAAAACCCGCTAGGGATCCATTGTTTTTGTGAGTTTCTGGGGTTTTATCCTTCTTGTCTG